TTGAAGAAATGCTCACAGTAGTCTGAACGCCTGTTTTGCATCATTGACTAATCTTTCCCTGTGTGTGTTATGTCCCACTCCACTGTTGGAGAGAGCAGCACGAGGGCACCTGGGTTAGACAATCCTATTTCCCAAAAACCTGCATGTGCTGCATAGTGCGTTAGTGCTAGAGCCAAATGGTTGCCCGCAGGTTCATATTACAATTTGCAGTCGAGTTGGGGGGATCTTGGGTTGGGAACGTATGGAGTGATGAACAAGAATACTTTATCAAAAAGTCAAACATGACAAAGAACAGTCGACGTTGGTGATCGCGATGAAGACTCATCGTCTATTACCATGTGCAGCGTCTATTTCAGGGAGGTACCACGTTGGTCCAATATTAGCGGACCAGTTCCACCCACAGATGACTGCATATCTCACTGTATGTGCCATCCGTTGTGTTCACACATACTACAGACAGTTGCAAGATCATAGCATTTCAGGTACTTCTTTTGCGAACCAAGATAAACTACGTAGGAAATTAAATCCTTCACTTCACAAGGTTGTATATTCTGACTCTTGTATCACTTCTCCGCCATTCGGGCGCCTACGTGCTGAAATTACTGTAAGGTAGGTGCTAAGGATACAGATTAATGCTCGGTGGTCTCACCTAGTGTTGTAGTCGGGATTTGGTACAGCAATAATGCTCGGCCAGAACATTTTGTTCCTTGAGAGCCTCCGAACGTACGACAGCTGCCAACCCGACGCTTCCAAAATATCAATGAAGCCTTGTATTGTACGTTCTCCATCATTCAGATTCGTTGAGACCTTCGCTAGCGTGAATCAACCCCGTAAAACCTGTCAAGAATGTTGAATGCTCACAACGATGTCTATTGCATAGGAGAGCGAGTTTGCTCCGCCAAAGTTTGGCAGGAGAGGAGCTGGAGCAGGCTTCACAATAGCACCCGTCTCTTTAACTGGCATTTCCTTCACTTCGCACGCATAGTTCATAATGGTTTCGACGATAACAAGAGTCGTCTTTCAAACAACAGCAACCTTGCGCAAGTTTTTAAGGATCTGAATACGGTATTTGTCGGACCAATCATGTAATATCCAGCGGAGGAGAAACACATCTGGAGCTCCTGGTAGAGGAGGCTGTTCCTTTAAGAAGTCAGTGTCTAGTTTAAAAAATGTCAACAATTGACCGTATTCCAATGATCACAATAACAAGACGAACCAATAAAATGAATCTTTCCGGCCGAAACATGAGTCGGTACTTTCTCATTCCAGTACTATGAAATGAATTAAGTACAAAGCATTGTTCAGCAATTCAGAAAGTCAATGATAGGTGATATTCCATACGTCTTTTGCTCTGTCTATCACTGACTTGAGGTCCTCGAGAACAACCTGCATGTTTGGGAACTTCTTTGCAACTTCTAAGGCGACGTGGCCCATTCCGCTACCGACGTCAACCAATAGGCCAATCGGAATCTGTTCCCAATCGTAACCTAGTCAAATGTATCCATGTTAATTGCGCCCCGTACTACAATGAATAGGGAATTCTACCTGCGAGAATTGCCTCTGGGTGCATTTTATTCGCGCTGGACATGAACACAGTGAAGCGGTCGCGACGGTAGTGATTTTCCGGAAGCTCATAGAAATCCCACAATGGTAGTTCCGTTTTGAATGCCTTTTGGAAACCGCTATCATTTACTTCCTCAGAGAAAGCTGTTTTCGGATCGAGCATGACTTCTCTAAATCCCTGTGCAGATGTCATGACTTCATCTGCTCTGCAATGTTTCTCAATTTCTGCTGATTCGTGTTAGGCAATAAATAAAATTACGTACCCGTAGCCAGCAATAGCAGCAAACCCATTTGTGTTAATATGCTTAGTAGCCACACTGTGAACGTCATGCTTAGCAATATAGCTAGCTAGAAAAAGACTTGGAGCGCTACAAATCATCTGTTACATCCTTTCCTGTATCAAGCAGCGAAGACAGGAGGTTATGAGCAAAAGTTTTCTCTTTCACCTCGCGGAAATAATGGTTTGTCGCCAGGAACCTTAGCACACGTTCTGGAAAATTGAAGGATAAATTCCCTGTGGCATGATCGTAGTACGCAAAATGCGAAACGAGCTGACCAAGCTTCTTAGGATCGACGCCGCTCTTCTTTGCGATATCATTGATATGCATATCCTATTGGCGCACGTCTCAATTATTATAGCGACAAAAGTCACTTAAGCAGGTCCACTTGCCTTGGGTCCAGCATCCCTTATGATTTCGGCGACGTGCGTTCCTTCTGCGATGCCGAGGCAAATAGGAAGGGTGAACTATGTGTGGTGTATCAGTAAGGAATTCTAAGTGAGCAGATGACTCGCATCATACTTTGAATGCTGAGTCCCACAGATGAGCAGCAGGAGACTGCAGAGTAGCAATGAGCTAAGCTGCAGCCGCTACTGCAAGAGTTATATTGTCTGCCACCTCTGGGTGGTTGTGAATTCCGTCAGGGGAGAACTCGGAAGGATGAACAGGCTCATTGAGAGACGGGAAGTCTACTCCAGTTTTTACGCAGATGCTAATAAAGTTATTGATGGAGGAGGAGATGATGTCCCTGAGTCCTTCAATCTCTGTAGCCATGATGCGCTTACTGCAGCTAGGTGTCGATGCTGAACCGCAACTATGTTTGCCTGTTACTGTCGTTTTCATAAATATTGTCACACGCGCGATTCGTGATTTTCGTCACACTAAGTACACTCAAATACAAAATCTACTATAACTCAACTAATACTTAACCAAATTACATGATCTAAGTTGTAAAAATTATACTTTTGAAGTATCTTTCATATTCCAGAAAAAATGAAGTAAAATGAGCAAAAATTGAGTAAGATACAACACAATATGTGAGTTTTCCC